CCTTGACACAAGTTTCCATCAAATCCCCCTGAGAAAGGGGAGGGGCTTGGCAAGCCCATCTTGTCATGTACCATCTATAAAGTACACTGTACTCAGAAAAAAAAAAAAGCAGCACTGCAATCCCAGAGGCGCACGGTTCAAATCCACCAGATGCTCTCCCGAGGAAGGAAGGACAATCTCCTCCTGTACCAGTCAGATCTGATTTGACGGTACACACAAAAAAATAATAAAATAAAAAAAAGATTCAAAAAAATTTATTTTAATGAAAGTTTGAGGCTCAATATCAAGAAAACAAAGATTCTCACCACTGGGCCAATTGGCAGTATCAGGATGGATGATGAAGAGATTGAGATTGTCAACAGCTTTAGTTTGCTTGGCTCCATGGTCAACATTCTTGGCACCAGCAGCCAGGGAATCAAAAGACGTATTGTGATGGGAAAGTCTGCTGTTAGGGACCTCTCCAAGTACAGAAGAGCAATAGTGTCACTCTGGGACTAAGGTGTGCCTGATACAGGCCATGGTCTTTGTAATTGCTTGCTATGTGTCAGAGAGCTGGACAATGACTAGGGAGGATAGAAGATGAATTGATGCCTTTGACCTGTGGTGTTGGAGAAGAGTACTGAATATACAATGGAGTGCTAAGAAAATGAACAGGTTCATCCTAGAGAGGGTTAAACCAGGCTGCTCCTTGGAGGCAAGGATTTTGAAGCTTCATCTGACATGCTTTGGACATGTTGCAAGGAGGGACCAATCCTTGGAGAAGAACATCATGCTTGGAAGTGTGGATGGACAGTGCAGGAAGACTCTCTATTAGATGGATTGATTCAGTGACTGGGGTAATTGGGGTAGGTGTGTCAGAGACAGTAAGATTGGTACAGGATAGAGCAGGGTTTAGGGCTATTGCACATATGCATAACAACAATGAAAGTTTACAGAGACTTTGAATTTCCATTCATTTATAGTTGCACTTTCCTCCCTGCCTACCCCTCCCCCAGCTCGCTTTTCTCTTTGAAAAGTAAAAAAAAAAGAAAAAAATACTTCATTGTTATACAATCCCCCCACCCCCAGTCCACTCTATTATGCAGCTTTCATTCTGGACTCTTGTCATGACAATAATACCTAATCATATATTCCTCCTAAACAGTTCTCAACTGTTTCAATGCAGTATATATTCTTTATCCCCTCTTAGTTCCCCCTCAAGTCCAATGTCAGTCCTGCGTTACAACAGTGGCACTATGCAGTACTTTTCCTTTTGTGACTGAGATATTTCACTCAGCATAATATCCTCCAGGGTCACCAATTTTGTATAATATTTCATGAGTTCCTTGTTTTTCAATTCAGCATAATATTCCATTGTGTGAATATACCAAAGCTTTTCTAACCATTTGTTTGTTGATGGGATCTTGGATTGTTTCTAACATTTTGCTTTTGTAAACAAAGCTGCAGTAAACATGGATGAGCATATATCTGCTTGAGTGGCAGTTACGGTTTTTTAAGAGTATATTCCCAGTAGTGGAATTGCTGGGTCAAGTGGTATTTCTATTTGCAACTTTTTGAGAAAGTACCGTATTGCCTTCCATAGTTTTACACTCCCACCAACAATGAATAAGGGTTCCAGTTTCTCCACAACCTCGTCAGCATTTGTTGTTTGCTGCTCTGCTGAATTTTGCTGTTCTTACTGGGGTGAGATGATATCCCATAGTTGTTTTGATTTGCATCTCTCTTAAAGCTAAGGATTTTGAACATTTCTTCATATGTTTGTTCACCATCTGAATGTCTTCTTTGGTGAAGTGTCTGTTCATATCCTGTGCCCATTTTCCTATTGGGTTGTTTACCTTTATCTTGTTGTGGTCCTTGAGTATTTTATAAATTCTAGATATAAGTCCCTTATCAGACATGTCATTACCAAATTTTTTCCCCAGTCTGTGGCTTCCCTTTTTACCATGTTGGAGAAGTTTTTGTATGTGCATAGGGATTTGATTCTTAGAAGGTCCCATTAATCTATTTTATCCTCTTCTGGTTGTAGGAAAGTACACAAATATTTTTTTATGTATTTGAAGAAAATAATTGTATGTGTTTTGATAACAACAAATATGTTATCAAGTTATTACATGCCATTCATCAAGTTAGTTCTGAAAGATAGCGACTTTATGTACAGCAGAACAAAACACTATCTAATTCTGTGCAATCTGCATAAACATTGCTGGGTTTGAACCCACTGTTACAGCTATGTTGCCAATCCAGCTCCTTAGAGATCTTTCTCTGCTTTTCTCACTTTCTACCAAGCACGATGCTCTTTTCTAGAGACTAATGCCCATGATAAAACATGTCGAAAGTACTTGGGATAATATGTCCAAAGTTTTGCCTTCTGCACTCCTTCAGAGCTTTCTGATTGTCTTTCTTCCAAGCCAGATTTGTTTGTTTTTTTGGCAGCTCAAGGTATATTCAAGAATCTTCATTAAAAAAAGGTAAAAAAAAAAGAATCTTCATCAGCAACCTAATTCAACGGCATCGATTCTTCTGTCTTTAGTTTTCCTCCCTTTCATTATTATTATTATTAATTTAAATGAAAATTTACAGAGATTTTGGATTTCCATTCATTCATTATTTCACTTCCCTGCCCATCCCTCCACTCCAGTTCATTCTTCTCTTTTAAAAGTAAAAGAAAATTTTTCATTGTTATACAATCCCCCCCCTCCCAGTGCACTCTACTGTGCAGCCTTTATTCTGGAGTCATTTCATGACAATAATACCTAATCATCTATACCTTTTAAACAGTTTCTCTCTCTCTCTCTCTCATGTTTCAATGCAGTATACATAATTTATATCATCTTTCTCAGTCTCCTCCCCAATGTCTATGTCAGTCCCATTTTACAACAGTGGCACTATGCAGTATTTATCCTTTTGTGACTGAGATATTTCACTCAGCATAATATCCTCCAGGGAAAGTACACAATTTTTTTTATTTGTTATATGTGTACCATCAAATTGGATCTGACTGGTACAGGAGGAGATTGTCCCTCCTTCTTCAGCAGAGCATTTGGTGGATTTGAACCACGCACCTCTGAGCTTGCAATGCAGCTTCTTGCCACTAGGCCACCAGAGCTCGCCGTAAATTTTAACACAAATATTGATTAACCTCTCCGCAGATCAAGACTTGGTATATTTTCAATTCTTCAGATAACTCTGTCCTAATCTCTTACCCCATACATGGTCAGTAATATTTTTCTTTCCCCATATTTTTAGTTTTACATTTGCTTGGAGCTGCATACCGTCTTGTCACTTTCTGGCTTCTTTGTTCAATGTTATGTCTATGAGATTCAGCCATGTTATATTAGCACAGTAGTAAGTTCTTCTTTACTATGTAATGCTCCAGTTTATGAATATATAACAATCTATATCACAACAGTCAACTGCTGTTGGGTGTTTGGGTTGTTTCCAATTTGGGGATACTATTGGCAGCAGCATGATAGATGGAGAAGAGATTGAGGTTGTTAACTATTACAGCTTGCTCAGCTCCACAATCAAGACTTTTGGCACCAGCAGTCAGGAAATCAAAAGATTAATTGCACTGGGAAGATGTATATCAGGGACCTCTCCAGAGTGCTGAAAAACAACAATGTCAGTTTAGAGACTAGGGTACACCTGATCCAGGCAATGGTCTTTGCAATTACTTTCTATGCATCAGAGAGCTGGATAATGACTAAGAATGACAGATGAATCAGTGTCTTTGAGTTGTAGTGTTGGAGAGGAGTCTTGAACATATATACCATGGACAGCCAAGAAAACAAGTAGGTCGGTGTTGAAGAGGGTGAAAGCAAGTTACTCTGTGGAGGCTAAGGTTTTGAAGCTCCGTCTAACATACTTTTCTCACATACTTTGGGCACATATTCCATCTCACATACTTTTTTTTTTTCCTTTTTTTTTCTTTTTCTTTTTTTTTTTCGTCTCACATACTTTTGACCCATCGTGACCCCATATTGGATTTTCAAGGCTATAAATATTTAAGGGAGGAGACTGTTCATCTTACCCTGTGGAATGCCTGGTGGATTCAAGCCACCAACCTTTGAGTCATTATGTACCAGTGCTCACTAATAAATAAATGGAAGCATATAACTGTGGTTTTGATTTGCATATTATTGATTAGTTGTGATATTTAGAACCATATCACATGCTTATGGGGGTCATGTGAATGTTGGGTTTAGCCATGGCTATGAGATTTTGTGGTGTGCATGTTCAACAATTTTGTTCATTCTTTATTTGCACTAACTTTTGCTTATTTAATTATAGGGTTCTTTTAATATAAAAAATTTCCTTTGCCAGATATATGTACTATAAATATCTTCTCCTAACCTTTAGTCTACATTTTGATGAAAGAAGTTTTTTATTTTAATAAAATTCAATTTATCAACATTTTTTGGTTAGTGTTTCTGGTATCATGTTAAATAATTTTTTCCTTGTTTTGAAAAAGTCCAATTATAATCTTTTTTAGAGGGGAATTGGTTGTTTTGCTATTTAGTCTATCCACTTTGTAATCTCTAATGAATCTAAGCCTTAAGATTTGTTCATAATATCAAAAAGCTGACAATAAGAACAGTATGCATCAAACAAAATGAAAACTTAATCAAATGAAGATCATATCAACTTACTGAAAAGCTATGTATGTCACAATTGCAACTCCCAGGAAAATGGAGGAAATTCCACATCCAGTATATGTTATAAGTACTAGTATCCTTTCATTCACTGCATCCACTGTAGACCTGGATAAATCCTGGAGAAAGCAATATATTGTACCTTATATATTCACATGAGCAAGTTTAAGGCAAATACATCCAGTACTCAATAACATTAAATTTGCAGGACCTATAGTAATTATTCTACGGCTCTTAGAAAATAAAAATATGAAGATAGGTATATAATAAGGCTTGATATTGTCTGCTGAAAAAGCCTAATGCAATTTACTGTGTAGAGTTAATAGAAGGCCATCCAGGCACTAGTAAAGTTTAGACATTGGTTTCATTGTTAACACGTTCCACACTTAAAATAAAAACAAGTTAATATAGGCAATCCCTGGAATTAAGAAAGATTTCTAGTTCTAAATCTGTTCTTGAGTTCAATTTATACATAAGTCTTAAGTTAGAACAGTTAGGTATAGACTATTGTCAGTCAAGTACTAGTCTTGGTGGTTGTTGTTGTTATGTGCTGTCGAGTCACCTGCGACTCATAGCGACCCTATGTACAACAGCCCTAAACTCTGCCCTATCCTCTGTCAATCTCATTGTCTCCCCCATTACCCAGTCACTGAATCAATCTATCTCACTGACAGTCTTCCTCTCCTGTGCTGTCCCTCCACGCTCCCAAGCACGACATCCCTTTCCAAGGATTGGTCCCTCCTTGCAACATCTTCAAAGTATGTCAGACGAAGCTTCAGAATCCTTGCCTCCAAGGAGCAGCCTTTCTTCACCCTCTCCAGGACAAATTTGTTCATTATTTTAGCAGTCCATGGTATATTTGGTATATTGTATATATTATATAGTGTGCCTTTCTATGTATAAAAACCAAACACTTCCAAATATACTAAATTACCTTTAACAAAATAATATAGTAACAATAATGACAATGTTCTGATGTGGTTATAGCAGAGTGGTATTCACTAGACTTCCTTGTATGTGTATGGATATTATCCTGTCACTCACAACATTGTATTTTAAGACGGATCTAGAAATGACTTTTTTAATGATGAAAGAAACCCCATTTTTCCTCACCTTTTCATCTCCAGCATAGTAAATCATATTATTGTCTGGCTTAAAATGTTTCATTCCAGTCCATCTCATTTCATCAGTACCTAGTATGTCAATATTTATGTATTCCATTTCTTTCTTAACAATGTCCAATTTTCCTAAATTCATAGTTCTTACATTCCATGTTCCAATCACTAGTGTCTGCTTACAACTGTTTCTCATCCTTTGTGTCTCCATACTTGAGGGCTCAGCCTCAGTTGCCATATCTGCTAGTCTAAGTGTGCTCTATTGGACAGAGGATTTTCGAAGTCCTGCTATTTCAGAAGTGGATGGCCAATCCTTCTTCCTAGTCTGTTAATTTGAATGCTCAGATTTAGAAGAATATCTGACAAACAAGCATTTTATAGAATAGAGCAGATGAAAGATATTTTCCCAATTATAGACATAACCAATAGATTCAGTGTTGTCCCTTCCCTTGACAGATGTGTCTTGACCTACCCCTTTTCCTGCTCCACCAGCATCCCCTTCTACTCCCACCTATGCCATTCAACACCTATCTCCCTCTATCTCATCCTTGATATGATGGCTTATATCTCAAGCCTTCTGGGCTTCTGACAGTGCAGTTGGCACAGGATATAACAAGGTTTATGGCTCTTGTATGTAGGGTCTTATAAGTCACAAGCAATACAATAGCACATAACAACAACAATGTTAGATGGATCTTGGCTGAAAGCAGAAAGTACCAGAGGAATGTTTATCTGTGTTTACATTGACTATGCAAAGGCATTTGACTGTGTGGATCACAACAAACTGTGGCTAACTCTGAGAAGAATGGAAATCTCAGAACACTTGATAGTGCTTATGCAAAATCTATACTGGGACCAGGAGGCAGTCATCAGAACAGACAAGGAAACACTGCAAGGTTCAAAATTGGGAAGGGTGTACGCCAGGGATGTGTCTTCCATACCTTTTCAATCTATATGCAGAACAGATTATCCAGGAGGCTAGGCTATATGAAAAGAAATGTGACATCAGGATTGGAAGAAGACTCAACAACAATCTGCATTACACAGATGACAGAACCTTGCTTGCCAAAACTGAGAAAGTCCTGAAGTGCTTGCTGCAGAGGTCAAGGACATCGACTGCAGGCTTAAATATGGATTAAAGCTCAACACTGGGCCAACCGGCAGCATCATGATAAATGGTGACGAGATGAGACTGTTGACAACTTCAGTTTGCTTGGCTCCACAATCAACACTCTTGGTACCAGCAGCCAGGAGATTAAAAGACTAATTGCCTTGGGGAAAGTCTGATGTCAGAGACCTCTCCAAAGTACTGAAGAACAACAATGTCAGTCTGGAGACTAAGGTGCACCTGATTCAGGCTATGGTCTTTGCAAACAATGACTGGGATGGTAAAAGAATTGATGCCTTAGAGCTGTGATGCTGGAGAAGAGTATTGAATATACCATGCATGGCTAGGAGAACAAACAGGTTTGTCGTAGAGAGGCTGAAACCAGGATGCTGCTTGGAGGAAAGGATTTTGAAGCTTCGTCTGAAATATTTTTGGACAAGTTGCAAGGAAGAACCAGTCCTTGGAGAAAGATGTCATGCTTGGGATTGTGGAAGGACAGCGCAAGAGAAATGAAACGGATTGATTCAGTAACTGGGGTCATAGGGGTAGGTGTCAGAGACAGTAAGATTGGCACAGTTTAGAGCAGGGTATAGGGCTGTTGTACATAGGATCACTATGAATTGTAAGTGACTCGACGGCACATAACAACAACAACAGAACATATTAGGAATCACTAAATGTACCATCTCTACAGATGATAGATTATTTCTCAATCACATTTTCACCAGATCCATGCTGTGATGACCCTGGGCACCAATGCGTCCAGAAATCTGGACATGTTCACAGCCCAGCTCTGTTTAACTTTAATTCAAGAGTGGGATAACATCAAGGATATCATCCATGAAAAAAAAAAAAGGATATCATCCATGAAAAAAGTAAAAGATTATTACAAAGACAGAGGAGAAAGAAACAACAAAAATGGATGTCAGAAGATTGTTTGAAAATTGCACTACAAGAGAATCCAAAGCAAGTGGAAGAAATGCTAAAGTAAGAGATATGAGCAGATTTCAAAGGATGGCTTGAGAAGATAAAGAAATAAAATGTGAAGAGAGTTGGAGTTAGAAAACAAAAATGGAAGAATACATTCAGCATTTCTCAAACTGAAAGAACTAATTCAAGCCTCAAGTTGTAGCCCTGAAGGATTTTAAAGGCAAAATCTTGAATGATATAGGAGCACTATGTAGGAAGCAGCGTCATCAGCAGCCATGGATGGCTATTAATTAGAAAGAAGTTGAATTTACACCACCTTCAAAAAAGAGTGAACTTAGTTGGGAGCAATGCAGACCTAGAGCAATGTGGACCCAGAGTGACTAGCCAGGACTGACACACCAGGACCAACACGCTGAGACTGATCCACTGGGAGTGAGCAGGACAGCTGGAATTTGAGTGAAGGATTTTGTGGGGATCACTGCTGTTTTGGTGGACCACATGAGATCCCTTAAGCTCAAGCATAAGGGAGTGAGACAGCTGGAGCTCGAGTGAGGATGCAGACCCAGTTCTGAAGGGGAAAACCAGGGCTTCCTGGTTTTCCATTCAGGTCCCAGTGCATGCCCACCCTGCGTGCATCTTCACAAGCGCCCGCCCTGCATACATCTGCACGTGTACCCACCCTGTGTGTGTTTGCACACGCACCAGCCCTGTGTGTGTCTCCGTGCTCTGCTCTGAATCTCCTCATGACCAGTCAATTAACTGCCTTTAGCCTAGAGTGCCTTGGACTGGCCTAGCTGCAACAGTTGTCTCACAGTAGAGGCTGATTTCACAGGCTTTTTCTCTCCTGAACTGAAGCAAATCTTCCCTTGGATCAGAAGTTCAGAGAGAAACACAGGCAGGGAAACTGCCCCACCCTCTTCTGGAGCAGTGACTTCAGATCAAGAACCTACTATCACCTCGGGCATGAAAAACTCTGCCACAGCAATGTCACTTAAGAAGCAGGCTACCTCACACCCTACACAAGCCCAAATAAAATGTCACCCCCCCAAAAGTGACACAATATCAATGGATTTCCAGGAGTCAGAAAGTCTGATGGAACTTTTTGACACAGAATTTAAAAGAACAATGATGAGATATTTTCAATGGTGAAAGACAAACTTGAAGAATTACAGGACACCACAAGCAAAAGCCAGGAGAAGCTTGGAAAAAAACCAACCAAACAAAAATGACACCAAATTGAAAACAATGCAGATGAAACAAACAAGGCATTAGAGGTTCAGGAAAAACAAGAAACCACAATCCAAAATATAAGGGCTAATGTTTCAACATGACGCAGGAGCACATGAACACAGTTGAAGACATAGAACACATAATCAGTGAAATAGAAGATAGAATTATCACTACTTATCTGCTAGAACAAAAAGCAGAATAAAAAAGAAAGGAAAAAGAAGAAAATCTAAGAATAATGTGGGATACCATTAAGAGAAATAACGTACATAATCAGAATCCCGAACAAGAAGAAGCAAGTAAAGGCACCAAAAAAATTGTGGAGGAATTACTATAAGAAAATTTCCTATGCATAATTAAGAATGAGAGAATATATATTAAAGAAGCTGAGTTAACACATTATAGAATAGACCCCAAAAGAAAAACACCAATACATATCATAGTCAAATTTGCCAGAACCAAAGATAAGGAGAGAATTATGAAAGCAGCAAGGGAGAAACAAAGAGTAACCTATAAGGGAGAGCAAATAAGTTTAAGTGCTGATTTCTCCACAGAAACCATGTGAGCAAGAAGACAGTGGAATGACATATATAGAACAAAGAACACAACTATCAACCAAGAATATGGTACCCAGCAAAATTGTCCATCAAATATGAAGGACAGATCAAGAAATTTCCAGAAAGACAGAACCTAATGGAATTTGTAAAAACAAGGCCAGTGTTGCAGGAAACACTAAGAG